TTAGACTAAAAGTTTTTGGGGGACAAAAAACAATTGGCTGGATGGACAATTATCAGGGTCAAGTCTATTGACAAAGATGTTGTGAAGTGAGGAGGGGTAGTTTTTAAAAAACACATTTTGCGTTTTGACACAAATTTGTGGTAGGTCGGTTTTGTCACATCTGATACTGTGGGTAATAGGTCAAGGCAGCAAAGAAAGCCCCTAGAAAAGCGGCTTGCTAAACAGGGATACGCCTTCCTAACCACATACAACGACATAAACAAATGCATTCCAGTCTTCTGGTGAGGGTTCTGTTTTGGTGAAATAGTTGTGACATTCCAATGTTTATAATCAACTTAAATGTTTGACAGACATACAGTGCATGGGGAAAGTTTTCAGAACCCTTCTGTGATGAGGGGGAATAGGGAAAGTCAGGCGCAGGAGGAAAACACAGAAATCAAGAGTTTTTCGGGTGACAATATGTAGCGCATTTAAGCGATAGAACGAAATTTAGCACAAGGAAGAAAATACCTTGGTTGCATACAAGGGATGTAGCGTTATAGAGCATGGCGTTTGCAATGCCAGGGTTGTGGGTTCGATTCCCAGGGGGCCAAAGTATAAAAAAATATGTATTCACTAACTGTAAGTCGCTTGGATAAGAGCGTCGCTAAATGATAAAATGTAATGTAAATGTAAGTAAAGAGTAGCTCAACCGGGGCTACTACTCTCACAACGAACAATCACTCACAAAGGACAAGGGGCAGAGGGAACCTTATACAAAGACTAATGAGGGAAAAAGTACCAGGTGTGTGTGATTGAAAAGACAAACAAGAAAATGGAGTGATGATAAATGGAGGGGTTTAGTGGCTAGTAAGCCAATGACGATGAATGCCGAAACCTGCCCGTGCAAGGGGGAACCCCCTTTTTTTTTTCCCCCCCCCCCCCCCCCCCCCCAGCCCCCAAAACCCCTTATTGTGACACCTTTCTTTTTCCACATTTTGTTACGTTTCAGCCTTATTCAAAGGATAAATGTTTTTTTCCCCTAATCAATCTACACCATATCCATTGTCAGGATCAGCCGAGGTTTTCCCCTCCTCCTTGCTCGGCAGGTTCCCGGGGTTCGTCGTCCACGGAGTTTCCAGCTGCCACTGATCTATGTTCAGTGTTTGTCTGTTTTTTTGATTGTTTTTCACCGTTTCCCATTTGTTTATTGTATTCCCTTTTATAAACCCGTCTCTCATTTGGGTTTTTGTTGTGATTGTTTCCGTCAGGTCGCAGTCGGTTTTATGCATTTATTGTCCCCCGGTTTGAGTTTTGTTTTTTATTTCTTTAACGGTTGATAAAGTACGTTTGCCCGTTTGTTGGTGTCCTGCGTTGACTTCGTTTCCCCGCATACCGTCACCTTTACACCCTAAAGACAAAGCGAAACAGGTTGTTCAAATTTTTTTTCAAATGTATAAGAAATAAAACAGAAATACCATTTACTAGTTTCAGACCCTTTGCTATGAGGCTTAAAATTAAAAAAAGGGGGGGTTTTCAGGGCACCCTTTTTAAATTCCATCCTTGAGTGTTTTAAAAATTGGGTTTGGGAGTCCACCTGTGGAAAATTAAATTGAGGGGCCCTGTTTTGGAAAGGCACACACCTGTCTATTTTTAAGTCCCACAGTTGACGGGCATGTTAGAAAAAAAACCCAAGCCCAAGAGGTTTAAAAAAAAAAATTGTCCATAGGGGCTCCGAGACGGGGATTGTGTCGGGCACAGATCGGGGGAAGGGTCCCAAAAAATATTTGCGGGGCTTTAAAAAGGTCCCCAAGAACACTTTTGGCCCCCTCATTCAAAGGGGAAGAATTTTGGGAACCACCCAAGATTTTCCTAGACTGGCCCCCCGGGCCAAAACTAAAGAAAGGGGGGGGAAGGGCCTTGGTCAGGGAGGTGACCAAGAACCTGAGGGGTCACTCTGAAAAGCCCCAGATTTCCTCGTGGAGATGGGAAAAACCTTCCAGAAAAAAAACCATCTCTACAGCATCCCCCCCAATAAGGCCTTTAGGTAGGGGGGCCAGACAAAAGCCACCCCCCTAAAAGGCCCCTTCACACCTGTTTGGATTTCCCAAAAAGGGCCCACCAAAAGGTCTCTCAGCCAATGGAAAAAACCCATTCTTTTGGTCTGTTAAAACCAACTTTAAAATTTTTGGCCGAAGCCAAGCGTAAAGCCCTGGGGGAAAACCGGCACCACCCCCCTTTTTTAGGGTGAAGAAGGGGGTGGCAGAATAATGCGGGGGGGGAGTTTTTTCAGCAAAGGGGGGACTGGGAGATAGTCAGGACCCGGGGGGGAAAGTTTGAAGGGAAAGGTAAAAGAGAGATCCTTGAAAAAAAAAAAACCCTGTCCAGAGCGTTTCAGGCCTCAGACGGGGGGGAAAAGGGGGTTAACCTTTCCCAAACAGGACAAGGGACCCTAA